TGTGTGTGTGTGTGTGTGTGTGTGTGTGTGTGTTTCTGAGAGAGAGCATGTGGGTATGCTGAAACCTGTGGTGCAGAAATGTAAATTAGGCATCGTTTGGAATTAACCATTCAGTTTTGCATAAGGTAGTGTTGTGTAATTTATCGTAGTCGACTTGAGTATCCTTGCTATACTTTGGCTCTATGTAATTTTGAGTTATGCTCAGTACATTGTAGGAATATAACTTCTGCTTCACTATAAATGGAAATATTGCTTAAGATGTGTTTTCCTACTCCTAACTAACTCATCGTTCTTTTGGCTGGGCTTGTTTGTACAGAATAAACTTAGAGCGATATTTGATTTGCTGTTTGACGATGAACACTGTAAGGTCTTCAGAGAGACATGACGGTAATTATGGTTCTGTGTACCACATCTTAAAAAGGGGTGACTCTGGCAGAACATTTCTCTTCCTCCAAGCATTGTGGACCCCAAACACCAGGGGGGTTTGTCCTTTTACCAAGTGGACATGTTGGACGTAGAGCTTTGAAATTAGATTTCTTTGATYCTATCATAACATTGTTTAATCTAAATGAAAAAGCTATTAAAGGATTTTTTTGAAACTAAAGCCGAGTTTTGTCAGGCGTGGGATTTAATGGCACGATGTGTGGTTGCAGGTGGAAAAAGAGGAGTGATATTTCACTAACGATACGGACAAACACACATGGGCRAAAATCACCGATGTTTCCCTTTTGGATGTGGCAATAAAAAGGCAAAATCTGAAAACAAAAAGTTATTGATTTCAGCACCACTCCTGATGACGTCAGGTGTTCTTCAATGTAAAACTGCAGCTCTTTTTAAATTATACAACAGAGGAACTTTCAGTTTAGATTTACGTTGCATATGTTGTCTTCCAACAAGGTTGCTGGCRGAGACCGGTCTAAGTAGAGTTTTCATGTTCTCTCCGTGCACACATGGGTTTTCTCCAGATCCTCCCGTTTCCTCTCACAGACCAGAAACACACAYGTTAGGTTAACTGGTAACTCGAATTTGTGCCTAGGTGTGAGTGAGAGAGTGAATGGTTGTTTGTCTCATTTGTCTCTAGTCTGTGTGTCCCCATAATGGACTTACCACCTGTCCAGGGTGTCCCCTGCCCCTCGCTCAGGGACTGCTGTACAAGGACACCAGGTACACCCACGACCCAGATAGGAAGAAGCAGGTAAAGAGGATGGATGGATGGACGGATGGATGTTGTTTTCTTGATTTAAAATTTCAAAACTTTATTATTAGGAATATTCAAACATGCCTCACTTGTACATTTTATCTTAACTCAAATTCACTTCTGGACAATTCCTCATTCTGTTTTATTACTATAACCTTTGTTCAACCGTAGCTTGAGCTGGCTTTTTCAAAGCAAAACCTTAAAAGCTGCAGTGTGCATTGCGATATGCTGTATTGAATTTACGATAAAGTAGCAACCGCCTCTTTCTTTGGTGAAACRTTGAGCTGATCAGAGCAGATAAGCACCAAGTAAAACATGATGCTTTCTCTCTGAAGATGTCAGGCAGGTTTCAAACACGCACAGTCTGAGATTATCATAGAAGACAATCAAACATGGCGAGCAAACACCACCCCCAGTTGGAAAACCGCTCGGCCCCGCGCTCACTTCATCAAGCAGTAAAGCAAATAATTTCAGCCCTCGACTCTGGAGGTCATCGCCACTGAACTCACAAGAGCTTGTTTGTTTGTCTGATTGGCTGTTTGTCCTGTTGGTCACAAGATAACATAAGAAGCATAGTGATAACGGGGAGCGGGGGGCAAGAGACGCTGTGGATCATTTTAGAGGTCATCCTCTCTGTTTAAACCTGCACATACTGCCACATTTAGTGGGTAAATATTGGCAAGTGGATCTGTCACAAAGCAAACACTGCTYACACCCCATCGTACTGTGCATACATCCCAGTCAGGTCAGGGGTCTGCAGCCTGCAAAGCAGAYAATTCTGCCCCTTTGTTCACTAAATTATAGCATTTCTTAAAAGAATGCCTAACTCCCACAGTCTTTCATGSTAGAGTTTTAAACTGAAAATGAGTCATTTTGATCAAATCTGATAGATAACTGCATGCACTCGTGCAAACCTGAGTTTACAAGATTTATCACACAGATGATGTTGAGGTGATGATAATCAACCACGACTATTGAACTTTAGCTCAAAATCATCAAAACATCATTTTTGTGTTGGCTAATGCCAAATAACTGTGGCCACTACTTTGAATTGGGTTGACTCCAAACTTTGTGTGGTAGATGTACTACTTTCTGAGCATTTCACAAAAATCTGTCCAGCGGTTCAAGAGATAATCCGTTAACAGACATATAGTGTTGGCTCTAACAAATAAAGTCAAGATGTTGCCTGATGTGTCATGACTCTGAGGTACAACCACACCAAATTTGAGTTGAGTTTCTGTAAAAGTGACTGGGTCAGGTGAATTTAAACATTAATCAGCTGCCTATCCACTGAGAGTTTTAATAAAATCTGTTTGTTGGTTCATGAAATGTTTTGCTAACAGACAGTCAGTATTCACAAGAGTTATTGCCATTGTTTAAAGTAAGACTGTTGCACAATGTGTGGTGCTTGAAGTGTGTGTTGGGGTTGCCTTTCAGCTACTACCACACCAAATTTTACCTCATTTGTCTGAGTTATAACAAGTTCTGTTTTTGCTAAGGAAGCGTGTACAGAAAATGGATGGATGGATGTTCAGCTGCAGCAATTCAGTCCAAAACGTTATCCATTGTAGCTGTAGATCCAATAATTACTTTGTGAGAGTTCCTTTCAGATGAGATATTTAGCAAACAGCACAAGTAAATCAAAGCTCACATGTGCAAAAACATTTTCCCCATTTGGCTTTCAGAAGCGGTGATCATTAGCAGCTGGATTCTGGCTTTTTTCTCTATTCTTGTATCATCTATATGAAAAAAAATCCAAGAGGAATTAAAGATCAAGCAATTAGTATAAATGCAACACTCTGCAAGTGAAGTGCTGAGGAATGATGTCTTTGAAATCTCTGTGAAAACCCGTGCAAGAGTGCAAACAAGACGGGCCGAGAGCGCTAATTAACCCCTGCACCGTGTGCGTGCTGAGTGATTGCCAGCGTCGCTTGTCAGATGTAAATATGCAATAATGTTGACTTTCAAAAGAGAAAGGTGGGAGGACACATTTCAGCTCAAATGACACAAGAAAGAGAATTTGTGAATGCGCAGCAGAAGCTGATTTCAATAGTGGATTATAAATAATTTAATGTTAGTTAAAAGGACTCCGTAACAGTCAGTGGTTAATACATGAAGTGGTTTGAACAAATAGATTACACAGTAAGTTTTCAAATACTGTGAAGCTGCATGTATTAGTATTTATTTAGCATAATAACACAAAGGGTGCTGCCTTCAAATGATCAGTGTGAGCGTACCACACAGTAGAAAGTCTACTTCAGGGAGGGGCAACTTAAATKATGGAAGAGGCCACAAATCTTTATTGGAACTACCAGAGTGTCACATACATAATTACCCCAATGTAATAAAACTGTCCTTTTAAAAATGCTTGTGCATCTATATGTGTTTATTAAACACCATACCGGTACAGTAACTTAACATATTTCATGCTCAAATGCATGYATAACAGTGGTACTCTTGTTTAATGAATATGAATATGGTTAAAATAAAATAAAAAAATTTACACTTTAGCGAGCTGAGGTGCAACAGCATAAGATGCCTTAAATGCAGACTACTAGGTGGTTCTGGTAAAAAAGTCTGTTGTTTTTGTACTTGCAACTTCAGTAAACTTCTCATATTTAGCTTAGTGCAATGTGTTGTAGTGGTGACTTATATTAAAAACCTTCATGGCACACAGCGTCTCTAAACTAAATACATAGGTTTGCCTTGAATTCTGTGAATAGTCTACCCCCACCCAAAAAAAAGAAAATTCAGTTTTTTATGTTTTTAAAGTACTCAAAGTAGTTCTTAGAGAGTATTCTAAGTGTCACTTTTAGTGCTTTTTTTAGGTAAAACATATAATTTAAAAAATAAATAACTAAATAAATAAATGGGGGTGGCCTCATTATTAGGACAGACAGAAGTCGCCGGCCCGCAGGCCACCAGTTGCCCATCCCTGCTTTACCTCAGAGATCTGCGACTTGAGGTTCTGTGGGCACGTGCTTCTCTTTGGTTCCTTTCCTCTGTGCTCGTCATAGTTTYGAGTTACAGAACTTTTAGTTTAGGTCCTTATTTAATTTCTGAACAGGGCGTTTTGGTATGCAAGGAAACCTGCATATATTACGCTGACATAATTTTTAATAAACATATATCAGTGTCACATAAATAGCTGAAAGAAAAAAA